TCTGAGCTAAGTCCAAGGTATGGTTTGTAAATAATGTGAAGGGTCTGAATATGAAATCTCATCGCCTTGATGGTATCGAGGACTTAGATAAATTAAAAAAAAAAAAAACAATAAATCATTAGTTGATGTTTTTATGAAAGAATATATGGATCGTGACTCCTTAGGTGCAGCAATACTTTATCTTCTATGCTATTCGTATATTTTCACCGCGTTAGTAATCAGGACCAAAATTAAGGAAAAAACTATTTTAAAAAGCTGAAGTTCCATAAACCGTGAATAAATTGGTTATCTTTTATTTGGTTTCCTTGAAGGAGATGAAAGAACTAAATCTGGATGAGATGTAGAGACTCAAGATACCATTTCTAATAAACTTAGTAAGGTCATTAAGCGCGAAGATATAGTAATGTATATGAAAAATTTCCTAACTTTGTTAGATTATTCCACATTTGGTTACCTGATTTTCGTCGTGCTAGAATTTTACAAGTAGTAAAGAAAAAATAGCAGCCGAAGCCTCAACCCCCTTTTTTTTGTTACTGCACACGAATAATTGAATTCATTTAAATGAAATTGACCACATGTAATGAATGAATGAATGTCTAAACGAGTGAGTGCGCAAAGCAAGTGCTGCCATATAAGCTAACCCACACATGCCACTTTCGTACCGGCTGATGCGGCGCTCGTCGCACGTAACAATGAGGAAGTTTTACAACTTGCTCCAGATATGTGAACTAATACGCAATGGCGTCGAAAGTAAGAAGGTATTTTTTTAATATTTTTTTTCTATTTCCATTTGTTATTTTTTCAATTGATTTCTATAACTCTTGTAGTTGTAATTTTAATATAGCATGCACTATTTTTTAAATAACATACCACAACAAAATTAATGCAAAAAAAGAAAGAAAAAAAATTATAAAAGTAAAACATGATAAAAGACGATGAAAAAAAAAATTAAGAAATTGGGAAATGCCATCTGATCGAATTTGACTCTAAAGTTTAATTCATTGAGTAAATTATGAACGAATTGTGCCATACCATATGATCAAAAGTGATCCAGACCAACAAAAAATTTGAAAGTAGTTTCTTTTTGAGCCCATACATGCCATTGTTTAATCCAATTATTCGTATATTTGTAATGGCAAGCTTACAAGCTGGGATGAGCTTCAGTACCTTCAGTAAATTTTGGTTTTTTCGTATTGGCTCACTGTAGGGTAGACATTCATGCGCTATATTGGGAGACAGTTTCAACATTAAATTTTGAATCAACGTCTCGTCACCGGTAATGATAGGTTCGATGTCTGAAGATCCTCAGCTACTTTGTCAACTATCTCTTTTGTGACCTCCACCTGGCGTCTTTTTTGATTCAGACCCAGTGAGTCTGGCATTAGCAGATTTTATACCCGAAGCAATCACAAACTGTGTTGGGTGTATTTATAAAAGATTTTGAGATGCTCTGTTACCTCACTAATGCCAATATGATGATATTCAAGTACCCTTTCTTTAATATTTTCGATGTTAACTCATGAACAGAGGTGAATGGAAGACTCACAGCAGCTTCACTGAATATCTTGCACCAATCAAAGACTACCCAAAATACTTCTCAAATGTTTTATTTATTACTATCAATTTTGATAACAAACTTTTTAACACCGAACACTAAACCAACAATGTCCAATGTCCGGCATGCATTTTCTACCAGTATTAGCTGCTCTGAGCAACAACCATTTATCAATCAATCAATCAATTCAATCACCCGCGCAGCCCTGACTTCACTTATGTACTTCCTTATTGCAGACATATATATTATTTATGACAACATTTATGTATGTAGTTGTACAGAAATTTGCGTGTAAAGAATATAATACTTGAAGTAAAATTACAAAAGAATTTATGCACATAGTTATTGCATTTTAATTGCACTCATTCGATTAAAAAATATTTATTGCGCCGAAGCAGGCATTGTGAAGGCTCACAACCAATGAAACATTGAACTACCAAGTATGTTTTGGTTTTGGTTTTTGTTGTTTTCGGGCGCTGAATAAATTACCAGTGAGCCAACTTGCATTCTGTAACTACATACTACTAACTATACCACACATATTACAATAACTTTTGCTTTTGAGTGTGAAAAGTTGCATAATTTGTGGCTCAAATCAGTGGCTATCACACATTTTTCAACAGCTGTAACTATTTTTCAACTAACCCGAATTTAATTTCTTTTTGCGTAAATGAAGCTTAAAATCTCAACTTTTCAGCACTATATGGTATGACATAATCTTATTGGTAGCACTGGAGATACACGACTGCAAGGACAGCTATTGACATAATACGAAAATACTTTTTCGACTAACCAGTATATAAATTGTTGATTTTTTTTTGCTCAAAGCGGCTACCGATACTTACAATTCTCCACTACAGGGGTGTTTCGTCGCATTTTGATAAATTTTTCGTCTCGATTTTTTGAAAATCAGTTTATTCTTTTATATTATATATTAGTTCGACTATATGTATTATAGTCTATAAATATATAGATTAAATTTCTCCGTTTGGAAATATCTTAATTTCGTTAGATTTAATACATTCATTAAAAGGCATGTTCAAATCAGACTTAAGAAAATACAAATAAACCTACATTTGCTGGCTTTTCGGGGATATCCGGTTAAATTTGAAATTAAGTACGCTTGAAAGCTCGCTCTTTACATCATACTGCAATTGCTTTATTAAAGACTTATGCGGCCTTTGCATACTTTTAGGCAAGCTGTTGAAGTTTGAGCTTTCTAAAAAGGCACGGCAAGTAAATGCTTTCTGATAATCAGCGATCAATATAAGAAAATTAAAAGCAAATTATTTTTTTGCATACTAAATTTCAAAGCTTGGATATGCAATATTTGATTCAGCAAAGTTTAATTCATAAAATTGTTTCTGAAGGACCTCCCTTCGTACTAAAAAATACTAATATCGTCAGAATTATACTGTACTGATTTAGTCATATACATATACTAATAAATGTATACTATATGTTATACTTATATATATAGTCAGAAATTTGTTAATATCGAAGCTTTTGAGAAATACATTTTGTTGCCAAATTCGATCACTTGTGTAATTGAAGCTTTGAAAAGCTTTCGCTTTTAGCTGCGTATATTTCATAAGAATTATTAAGATTTTATACACTTTTGGAAGCTTTGCGATGATAAAAAAATAATTATTATTATGTGTAAGTATATAATATTATATAGAGTAAGCACTTTACTTGAATTCGCGAATTATATAGATATAAGTATAAGCATATGTAAATATTTGATACTTGTCTAATTAAAAATCTTACAAAAGTGTTTATGTGATGAAATCAGGGTAGGTTTTGTTGCTGATAAATTTGGAAAAAAAGTTTTCAAATTTCTTAATGTAGAATAGGAGACTTAGGTTTGATAATGAATGCGTTTAGCTTTCTTGATTAAAATAAAGGTCTAAATATGGAGCCTTTGCTGTCTACATTGTGGCAAAAATCACCTCGAAATTGTAATTAAGTTCACCGGACAAATGATATTTAAAAAACTGCTGAGTTGGTAGGACTGTTTTTAATTACCATGCCAACTATGAGCGCGCTTGTCAACCAGTTTGCTTACAGGTACTGCTTAAGTGGGTATACCTCAGTAGTCCGTTGGGGCTTACGATGATTCAGTCAAAAACAAAAAAAAGAAAAAACAAGCTTACGAGTAGTAAAAAGCATTAAAAGGTCGAATACTCGCTAAAGACATGCTTTGCTCTGGACGACCTTCGACCTCTTGCTCAATTAATGAAATAGTGAAGGATATGTTGCTTTAAAATCATCAGGTAATTGTAAGAGATTTGACAAGAGAACTCGACATACAGAGAGTACCGTAAATAGGCTTTGTGTTCTGGAAAACCTGTTGGCAGAAGTATATTACATTTGGTGGGGACTACTTTGAAGTCGAAAAAATAAATATTGATGAATAATTAAATATTTTACGTTTAATTTACAATTTCCGGATATTTTTTTGTCATATTGTGTAGTCTCGGAAACTTTGAGAAATATGTTGCGCTTAAGTTTATTATCTCTTAGGGGAGTCATTGGTGAAAGGTGAGGACTCTCACCGAAAGTAGTTGTCTGGATCTACGACAGCATATCAAACCAATTATATTTTATGCGGGAGCGCCCTCAAAAGAGGAAAGACCACACATGCCTAGGAAGCTTGAGAACATTCAATGAGTAGCGCATAGCAGCATGTCTTTTTCATTATTGCCATTGGACATAAAGTGCCTATACTATGGAAATCATGGGTAGATGCATGGCGGCGAGAGTTGATATCAAATTCGTGGAATCTAAGTTTCTTAATGAATATATGTCTTAACATTTGAAAATGCTCACACGGTTTGACTTTATACCGGGTCTTTTACATCTTGGAGTCGACAAACCGAGCTCTGATCAATTTTTTGCCCAAATATCTACAATGGAGTTTTGGGTGGGTAGAATCCATTGGAGGTGCGAGACAGTGAGCTTTTTTACAAATGCGCCAAAGTTTGGGGGAAGCTTGGCGGAGGGGTATATTCTTAGAAACTTTGTATCAACTTTAGTTTTGTATTAACTTACTGGCCACTGCAGTGTTTTTCAAGCTGAGTCTGCTGAAGTTAAGCTGATGAATTGCCAAAGAAGATAAAAATCATACAACAATTTTTCTTATATATTCTTCGATAATGTTCTGTCGTCATTTTATTTACATAATTAAATTATATACAAATTAATAATTCGTACAAAAACAAAGTTCATACCATTTTGTTCATTTTTATAGAAGATATGATTGATGGAGACAAAATTCGATATGAAACGCTTGCGAAAAGTTTCAATAAAGACACCGTGCAAAAATATGAAGGTTCTTAAGTGTATGCAGAAGTAAACGTTGCAAACTACGAATCTGTGCTTTCATAAAAAATGTAGGTGTGGCAGGCAAGCTTGTGGACTTTTTAGTAAATGAAAGAAAATGTTTGGAGGCAGAGAAGAGCCAAAATATTCTCCTCTACTATTTACATTTAATTCGACTCTTTTTGTCTCGCCATTCCTTCCAATTCACACTTAACTTATGTAAGTTCCACACCCTCCAATCGCATGCCGAGTTGTCTGCCCATTTTACTTCAAATACGTTTTACGTTTGACAGTCTCCACGCACTTTTCGCTGTAGCGCCGATATCCATTCGTCGCCGCCATTTAATTCGAAATTTTTATCACAAACTAAAAACTAAATTATACATTTGGAGAAGCAGAATTGTGAAAGAGCCAGAGAATACCATAGTCTCAGTCTCATTTCACTTCAATCCACATTTTGCGCAATTTTTTAATGTAATTTTTTCGAGCAATGATGGCCGTTCTTTTTAAATTCTCAACTAATTAACCGTAATTTCTAGATGTACATATGTAAGTCTGCTGCCTTTTTACTAAAAAGTCCCTCACACCCTCAACGAGTCAAAGCAGTTGGCAATTTACTTCTTCTTGTGGATGTGACCGTGTCCATAGCTGATCGAATGACCGCCATAGCCTCCGAGCGAGTGACCACCAAGGGCGCCAATGGAATGGCCACCGTAACCGCCAATACCACCATAGCCTCCGCTGATTATCGCAGCCGCTGGTGCAACGTGGCTCTGAACATGTACGGGCACTGGAACTGGCACTTTGTAGGGCACGTGTTGTTCAACGGCCACTGGGACGTGCTGTTCGACATGCACGGGGCGTGGTACATCGACTGGTACCTTCACGGGGTAGGGAACTTTGCGTTCGACTGGTACAGGGATCTCCTTGACGACGGGATATGGCCTGGGCACAGCAACTTTGACAGGCACAGCCACGGGACGGTCTACATGGACTGGCACTGGATTATCGACTGGCACATGCACAGGTATGGTGATACGCTTCTCGACTGGGTATGGTACGGGCTTTTCGACAGGTACTGGGTATGGTTTCTCTACAGGTACTGGATAGGGACGATCCACGGGTACTTTGACGGGCACTTGTACGATCTTCTCAACTGGGTAGGGTTGTGGCACATGTACCGGTACTTTGACGGGGACCTGCACGATCTTCTCAACTGGGTAGGGTTGTGGTACTGGTACTTTAACGGGCACTTGCACGATCTTCTCAACTGGGTATGGTGCTGGGACGGGCACCTTCACTGGTACTGGGCGATCCACATGTACGGGCACATGTACGTGAACGGTCTTCTCTACGGGGTAGGGTTGTGGAATATGCACAGGTACTTTGACGATCTCTTTGACTGGTACATGTACGGTTTTCTCAACGGGGTAGGGTTGTGGTACAGGTACTTGCACTGGTACTTGAACGATTTGCTCCACTGGGTAGGGCACAGCTCGTTCCACTTGATAAGGCACAGCTACTTGACGTTCCACGTATGAGGTTTGGACATTGGTGGGTACAGAAATGCCACCGCCGAGTCCACCGCCAAGTCCACCACCCAAGCCACCACCGAGTCCAGTGCCGGCAATGATGGCACCACCACCATAACCGCCACCATAACCGCCACCATATCCACCGCCATGTCCACCACTTACAAGTACTGCGCCACCATGACCACCGCCGTAACCGTAACCGGTTCCATGGATGATGCCACGTTTTTCTTGTTTCTTCTCGGCTGTGCTGGATGGCTTCACTTCGGAAGCGGCCGCTGCTGGCTCAGCGGACTTGGGCTCCGCCGATTTTTGCACCTCCTCGGCATAGGTGAATGCTGATAAGGCCAAGAGGCCGAAAATGAACTGAAAAGAGAACAAAAAATTGTAGAAGTGAGCTTATACGGTTTGCTGATTAAGTTCTAATTAAAGACCTTTTCATAGAAATTGAATTGAGTTATAGCATATATAAGAGGGTACTTATGAATGCATATATAAGTTATTTTAGCTCTGAAAATTTTAATCAAAATATTGCTTGTAACTACGTCTGCTAGCATTTCATGCTAGGATGGTCATAAATGTTGTTTGTTTTGATATGTTTTACATAGCAATCTGCTCTTTCTTCATCATTTTATGGTATTCAATATTCAATTCGCAACTGGTAAATATTATATAACAAAAACTAGGCCACCAATGTCCATTTAGCGCGCTAGCACATTAACCTGCATTTGCCGCTGCACCAAAAATGGTAGCGCTTCCGCACCAATCAGTTCCAAACGCTCAACGGCAAGCCTCAACTAGTCGGCGCATGCCATTTGGGGCTTGTAATCCGGTCGTCATGCGCAAACGAAAGCAAAATTAGTTTTTCTGGTACGTAACAAAAACAATCGGAGTGCCTATAAATAGGAGCATTACGATGCAACATGTCGAACGCATGTCGGAGCTTCCTTTCCACTGCGGTCAAGCGAAGTCAGTGACCAAAATTGCTCAACAAATTTATAGCGAAAAAGTGAAGCTAATAGCTAATAGCAGAATTTATTAGGAAAAGCAGACAAAACGGGAAAACAATGATATAATAAAGTGCATGCTTTTGCTTTGAATTAATAACGCTGCCACATGTTGCACGGCATGTTAGTTGGCCGGCTGAAGCGCTGCAAATGGAGTTTAGTCAATAAAGAGCCACTCTGAGACTACCACTACATTGCATTACGCTGCCGAGGCTTGGTACGTGCTATGAAATTGTATTTTTTTTCTTGCCGCGCAACTTTCGTTTGTGCGTGTCTGTTCCCACCTATTCCGCACGCCTTTTCGCCGCTGCTTGTAGCTGCGTGTGTTTGGTTTAACRTATCAGCGTTTTTGTGGCTTTTGTTTGCACATCATCAACAACCGGCTGCGCTTTGTTTTGGCTGCACTGCTTATTATTGCTTTGGCTTTGAGCCAAGTTCAATGCGCATTCGAGGTGTGAGTATTCGGTAATAAAATTCATGAAAAATTTTGGTTTTTATTTTTGTAATTTGTGCGTTTTAAGGGTGCTTCTGCATTTCACCGTTGCGCTGACAAGGTTAATGCTGGGCGAATTTGTCATGTATTATTGCGTCTGTTGTACGTGTGAGGGAAAAGCTGGCGTTTTGTCAATTCGCTTTGGTGGAAAGGCTGTGCAGTAATTAAATGTTCAGCTTATTATGTAATTGACTTGGTAATTTATTGTTGGTTGTTGTACATGTCTGTGATGCTATGTTGTAGCGTCTGTGGACCGATAATATAATATATATTTTTAAAGTTCTTGAAGACAGCAAATGCATGTACACGGTTTTTGGCGCCTTATGACAACATTTTAACGTCGGTGAATTAAAAAATATTTTTGGAACCACATGATAACATTGGATAAAACGATATATAACGGTTTAACTTTTAATAGTTCTGAGATATAGATTACGGCATTTATAACATTTGTTAGAAGTAAAATTTAGTTTTGGCTTCAAATCGTATGTCTGTGTTAAAATACATATATGTATATGTGATAATATAAATTATAAAAAAAAATTGAGCTTTTGCTTATTAAAGCGTTTCTTTTTAGTAAGAGTGTATATTCAATATAAATTGTAATGGAAGAGTTTGTTCGTTCCTTTTGTAAAAAATTTTAACGCAATAAAAAAAAATTTAAAAAAATTGTAATATAAAAAGAATTTTTTTTTTGGAAAAAATTGTTAAAAAAATGATTTCTATATAAAAATTTATTTTTATTTAAAATTTTTTTTATTACAAATTTAATTCAATAAAAAATAATTTATCGGACAGCTTAAACACTCCTTAAACACTTCATAACTCAGTTTTTAATCTGTACTATTACAGCTAGTAATAAAATACTTGAAATTAAAACTATTACACTCTGTAGCAACAAGTTGCAAGAGTATAAATATTTTCAACCAATACTGCATGAGAAACCAGATAAAGCTGAGAAAAAAGCTTCTAACAAGTTCTAACTCATAAACTAATTCAAGTAAAAGCTTGATATAAAAGACTTAGGAACAAACTTTGAAAAAGCTGTTAAGACGAACTAAGATTTTAGAATCTAAATTGATGAAAGTGCGAGTGAGACAATAGTAAAGTTATTTTTTTGGTTTCCTGTAGGAAAAATACCATTTTTTTGATATTTTTTTTAATGTAGAAAAGTATACAATTTTTAAATTTTTTTTTCTGAGGTAAAAAAGTAATATTTTAAAATTTTTTTGGAGTCGGAAAAAATTAAAGGTTTTGAAGATTT